CAAGAAGACATGGGCACAGTGATATTTTTTTACGTTATGTTCGAATTTCATGAAATGAAATTAAAATAAGATAAAATAAAGGATGTATTTGGACTTTTTTTTTAAATATATTGTTTTTTTTATTTAAATAACCTGGGCTTAAGATTATTTATCTAAATAATTGATTTTTTTCAAAGGGTTTTTTTAAAAGAAATTAAAAAAACCCTATGAGAAATCGGTTACCCAATAATAGATTTCTTTATTTAGTTTTTTTTTCTTTCATTTTTTGGTTTTTTTTTTTATAGATTTTTCGGTTTTTTTTCTTTTCATTTTTTGTTTTTTTCCATATTTTTATATTTCTTTTTTATTTTTTCAATTTTTAATTTTCAGATTTTAAAAAAATTATAGTATTTTTAAAAAAATTTATTTAGTTAATTTTTTAGAATAAGATTAAATAATTAAATAAATATTAAATAAAATTGTAAAAAAGACAATATTTTTATATAAAATAATAGAAAACAAAGTACAACATTTAAAATTACAAAACATTTTAAGCTTGTTGACTTGAAGTGACCTACATTCCTGTAGAGAGAACATCTTTTTGGTTGTCCTGGTTCAACCATATCCATTTCAGCGCGTATTTTGGATGACTTTGGACAACCCTTTTTATTTCTAATCTTTTCCAGATTTGGTATGATTTGCGGTTCTTCACAATCCGGCCAATAAGATTCATTGGGCAGTTCACCAAATAATTTGTTGTACACATTTTAAACATACTCTAATGTGTATACCTGATCTATGTGAGATTTGTAATTGTGGTGAACATGCTTACATGCGGCAACAACATGGGAGCATGGCATGTGTAGCTTCTAGAATTTCCCACAGTCACACCACTTGTCATGTAGTTTAACCGGGAAATTTCCAGTAGGTCATGTGTCCCTTGGGTTAATGGTCTCTTGCACCAGAAAACGTGTACTGTGACGATCAAATTCGAGGACATGATGACTATTAGCCTTTGATTCTGCATCTCTCATGGCCCTATTGATTATTTCAGTATAAACTTGGTCAGCCCTAAGTTTAGCATCGACTTCCTTCCCCCTTTGGATGAATAAGGCATTACATCTCCTATAAGTCGACATGATAATTGCAGAAATTGGCAAATTTCTTGTTTTTTTTAAGAATGGAGTTAATTGCCTCAACCAAGTTGGTAGTCATGTGTCCCCATCGTCGGTCACCGTCCCATGCAAGAGTCCATTGTTCTTTTGGTATGGTGTTGAGCCATTCAATTATACCTTCGGTTTCTGGTTCGCTCCTTAGTGTGTTGTAGTAGTAATTGAATCTTGGCTCAGTCATCCCATAAGCTGTGAAATGAGAATAGCAAAAAATGAACAATTTAGTATTGTTGAAATATGGTCAAACAAATAAAAGTAATTAATGATAAGAAGTACATGCCCATATTGATGATTAACTTTTTTCATTCTGTATTCTTGAAATGCCTCATGAAGTTTTGGGCAATATGGCGAATACAGAACACATGCACTAAATTCTCGTGTGTCCAACCACTGCTTTGTCTAGCATAGGCATTTTTATGGACTCGTGCCTGTCCGAAATTAAGCAAAGGCCATCTTGAGGGCAAACATGTCTTTTGAGATAATGTAGAAAGAAAAACCATGCATCTGCTATTTCACCATCGACAATTGCAAAGGCAATTGGAAAGATTTTGTTGTTACCGTCTTGAGCCACGGCCACAAAGAGAGTTCCTTTGTATTTTCCATACAAGAATGTGTCATCAACTTGAACAATGGGCTTGCAGTATTTGAACCCATCGATACAAGGTTTAAATGTCCAAAATACTCAATGGAATTGAACATAATGATGAACCATCTCACCTTGTTGGTTGTATAGTGGCCTTGTTTACTTCTCAACAACAAATCCATTAAGAAATCCACTCATGGCATTGAGCAACTTGGGTAAATATGGTAAGATTATTCCCAGTTGTCATGTAAGTCTTCAATTTCCTTTAGCTTTGCCATCCATGCTTTGCAGTATGAGATTGTGTACCCTTCAATACTTTTGATGTGTGCTATTATTGTTGGAATTGAAATCGATGGATCACTCTCCACCAAAGCAAGAATACTTTTGTTGATATATACACAACAAAGGTTAACATGATCTTGTGTGATAATAGGGGATGAACAAGAATGTTCACCTGATAGCTTATGAAGCTCCCATTTTTGGCTTCTAGTAATAAAAGCCGCTCTGCACCTCCAATCACATGTAATGTTAACACAACGTGCAACAATTAATGTTGGTGACGATTTCTCCACCCTGTAATACAGACCTTTCTTTATATGGTATGCATTTAAAACATGTTGGACTTCCTCCTTTGTGTTGAAAGTCATGCCTTGAAATAGGTTGTCAGGACGTCAACATGGTCAAGTGTATGTTTATACTCTGGGTCGGTGAAATCTGTTTGTAAATCAACATTATGCATGTGTGATGGGAAATTGAATGTGCTTACGTGCTGAGATTGTTGTAGAAGACGATCTTGTTCGTCTTGTTGGAGTCTTGCATCGACTTTCCCCTCACTAAAAGGACCAACTTCTTCTTCAAAAACTGGAGGTTGGTAAAGGATCCATGTGTATGAAATTCGTCTAACGAAGGTTGGTTTTCATAATAAAAGGGTTGGTTTTGATGGGAAGAAGGTAGGTTTTGATAGGAAGAAGGTTGGTTTTGATAGGAAGAAGGTTGGTTTTGATAGGAAGAAGGTTGGTTTTTATAGGAAGAAGGTTGGTTTTCATAGGAAGAATGTTGGTTTTCAAAAGAAGAATTTATTGGTGTGAGATCTGCATATAGTTGAGCAAAAATAAGATGTTTAAAGGAATGAACCATTTGAATCATACCATGAACATCTTCATCATCGATAAGCTTGACAACCTGGAAATTAAGCATTCCTCCGCCTACCACTTGTGGATATCGAAAGTAAAGTTGATCAACTGAATGTGGTTGTGGTAAGTTGAGTTTTCTTTGGATCTTAGCTTTCAACGCATCAAGTGTAATACGTGAACTAACTAATAAAAACATTGGGTTAGAGGATACAAAAGTATCCCCTTCGTTTTTTTGAGTGATTTCACCATTAAAGAAGACTAACACACGGAAAAAAGAGGAAGATATTGTTGTAGACAAAGACTAACACACGAAAACAAGAAAACTTGGCTCAATTGTACTCTACATTTGAACCCAAGAATGGCCTCATTTAAATAGAAGGTGGAGATAGGCTTCAATCAATTACACTCATCAACCCTAAACATTGCATCAATGACACTCTGAAACCCCAAGCACTGCATCAATGACACACTACATTAATGACATAGTCATTAATGACACATTGCATCAATGACAATCATCACTAAAGCATTTGATTTCTAACGCACGTAAATCAATGTCATTCTTAATTAACATATTTATAATTTTAACAATTGATTTACTAAATTATAATATTAATTTTTATATATTTAAAAATTTTGAATTTCATATTAAAATATATTTTTTAATACATATTTTATTTGACAATTTTTAATTAAATTATCTCTATTTTTTAATTATATTTATTTTTTAATCAAAACAATTTTTAAAAAATATTTGAGTTTAAATAAAAAATATATTTTTTATATTTTAATAACTAAACTTAATATTTTTTTTAAAATATTAATTATAATTTTTTATAAATTCTAGAGAAAAACGAAAAAAGAAATATAAAAATCTGGAAAAAAATAACTAAAAATTTGGAGAAAAAAAATCCAATAGAGAATTCAGTTACTGGGTAACTGATTTCTCAAAAAAAAATTAAATTTTTTTTAACAAACTTCTTTGAGAAATTGGCTGGACCTAAAAAATGGGTTATTTAAATAAATAATCTTGGGTCCAGGTTATTTAAATAAATTAAAAATATATATTTTAAAAAAAAAGTCGAGTATGAAAATAAATGAAATAAAATATCTATAAGCTAAGATTAAATTATACATAAGTTAAAAATAAGTTTTTAAATAAATTAAGAAAAAAATTGTAAATAAACTTATATATAACTTATTTTAATTCAGAGAAAAATTAATTTCCTTTTTTTCTTATTTTTTTTTTGAAAGAGTTTTAAGGCATAAAAGCTTTGTTATATTTTTGGTTTATTCAAAATACACGAGAAATAGAGTAGATGGACGAATGAAAGAAAAAGAAAAAGAAATAAAATAAATTATATTATTAAAAAATTTTCTTATTTTCAATATTCATTTTATCCTTTATTTTGTGATATTTTCATATCTTATTTTAAAACTTTTTTTTTATATAATTGTTATCAAAATGCATAAAATATTTCAATTCTACTAATGAATATAATAATAACTAAGTGAAAAATAAATTTCACGAAGAATTAAAAAATAATTTTAATTTTAACTTTTAATTTTCAATTTTCAATTACTAGTTAAACTCATTTTCATGCAATTTCTATCATTCTTATCATTTTCATAAGTTTTTTTTATACAAACATTTGTTGGTTGAATAGTTTTCAAATATGTAAATTTAACAAAATAAATCTTATATCTTAAACTAAAAAAAATAATTTAAAATTAAGTTCCAAAATTAAAGATGACCACTATTACCTTGAGATTTTTTCAAAACAAGGTAAACAAAACACTTATTAACTCTTAAACTTATAAGTTACAATTTATAGGGATATTTCTAAAATAAAAAAATAAAATACTTATTCAAATATATTTATTTATAAACATTTATAAAATACTAAATTTATCCATAAAGTAAAATTAATTCATAGGTGAATTATAAAAAATGAAAAAACTGATATCTGAAAATTTCTGTAAACTAACTTAAAAGATAAATTAATTTTAATTTTAAAAAACTTATTTTATTTTTCCTTTTTTTTCTAAATATATTTTTGAAAATCTTTATCCAAACATGCGAAAGCCAAAATCCAAGTATACCCTACGGTATCTATCTAGCTATATAATCCATAACACAACAAATACCACTTTATGCTTTGATGGTCTCAAAATCCCAAGCACAAGAACAGTTGAAGACCCCTTTTCGACATAGAGGAAACTCATGTACAGTCTGCACAAGACTACTCGTTTTAAATAACAAAAATGTCTGTCATAGGTCCAATGAGAGATCTAACAAAACACGAAACTGGATTATACCAAACTGCCATTATTCATACCGAATGCGATGCAGCAAATAGTAATTTCATTATCACCACAGCCTTCATTCAAAAACCTTCCTTGAAAGCAAGGAGAGCGAGTGGCTACAGGCAAATGCTCTATTGCTCAGCAAAGGCATAAAAATATCACGTGAAGATTACGACTAATTCTCAGGATTAAGCTTCAGCTCCTGTTTCCTTTATTTGGATCGATGTCTTGGATAAGCTTGCTTCCAGTTCATTTAACTCATCCATGTCCAACTCATCGTCATCATCAACATCTATGTCATCATCACCAGCTGTTGCTGAGGTGCTGGGTCCATCTTCAGCAGCATTCCCATTCCCCTGAAGTTGGATCCAACAATTAGAAAAATCGAAATATACAGTTGATGTAGAAAAAGGCACCACATTTAATACTTAAATCACACGTTTTAACTGCATATTGAATATAGGAAGAAATGAGTTAAGAGACTAGTGCTAGAGGCCAATAATCTCCTCTTAAAACAAAGTATAATAATGGTGAAGAAAGACGACTTCAAACTGGCTACAATTCATTGTTCATGGCAGAGCTCCATGACAAAAGTAAAACACAATCGTCATTTGATAAGATTATTTTACTTTAAAAAGGCTAACCACATCAGCAACCTAGGTGCAAGCATTAATAAAGGCACAATTTTTTGTCAAGAACTTCTGCTTACTATTTTTGGAACTCATTTCAGATACATTAAGTCAGGTTTGGATAAACTTCTACACAAACACTTAGATGAACAAAATAGAAAATAAAATGAATTGAGCTGCTTCCATAAGTCAAAATCAACTTATGTACCTAACTTTTACAAAAACTCTCTCATCTAACTTTTCCAAAAGTTAAGATGTGTAAGTTGATTTTACGGGAGAAGTGCAATTTATTTTACCTTCTTATTTTCTTCTACCACAAGTAACATGACATATCTTATTCTATGGGCTTTTAGAAAGAAGCATGACTTGTGCACTTAATACAAAACAAAGTCCAAGTCCTCGAGTTAATTTGGCAATACACATTTGAACTACTTTACAAACCAAGTGAGCTTCTTGCTAAAATGCAATGAACAATCCATACAAAATCAAATCAGAACACTATTTATTACAAGGTGTCATCTCAATTAGAGCCTGGGGATGATACATTGCATTACACCACAATAGTCACATGTGAACCCTGAACCCGGGTGCAAAATTTACAGCTCAAAACACGGGAGAACAATTTCCTAAAAGCCAAGCTGATGAGTGGAGATCTAGCACCTTAAATCAGAGTTTTATGTCCTCATCAATTTGATGAGGCACGCATGCTCATGACCACATGCATCATATCACCAACTTGACACTAACTAAGAGATCATCAAATTTCCCAACGGGACAGCCAAATGGTTAAACATTGAATACTTCAACTTGGACGTCTAAATGTTATTTTAAAAAGAAACGCTCTTGTAGTTCAAAACATGTTTTAAAAAAATTAACAATAATTAGTCAAGGTTTTTGAGAAAAAAAATTTATAAGAAAATATTCTTTATTTTCAGCAAGAAAACTCTCAAAATGCTTTTAGTTTGTATCCAAACAAGCTTATAGGGTTCTTCTCAAAAGCTAAAAATATTATTTTAGCAAAGAAAAAATATATAAAAAGGTTATATCATAATAGTGCCTTTTTCTAAAACCTAACCAAATGCACCTTAACCTAATGTTTGGATGGATAGAAAAATAGGGAGGAAAGAAAAAATTATAATTTTGAAAAATTTAATTGTTTGGTTGAAGAGAAACACGTTGCTTTTAAGTAACAAAAATTTTAAATTTTTTTCTCAATGTTTTCTCTCCAATTCAAATTTCATTTTTTTCCTTATATGAATAAAGGGTATTCTCAGTTGATATCAAATATGGTGGGGTATATGGAGGAGCAGGAACAAGTTAGAACTCCACTCTGATGTGTAACCCACGTTCAAATGGATCTTCAAGTGAAGCTTGAAAATACACTAGTGTATAAAACTCCAAAAACATAATCAATTTATTCAAAATTTATATTTAGAGAAGGGCATAGATATCGTGATTTTAAAGTACTGTTGCACTCATAGTCACTCGCAGATACTGTAGTTCACTCATCACGACTACAGTAATGCAATTGTAGCCAATTGGGCCATAATTTTATTTTTTTTTAATGTTTGTAAGTATCAATTTTTTATTTTGAGAGTTTTCTTGCTGAAAATAAAGAATATTTTCTTATAAAGTTATAACATTCCAGTAATTGTGGTTGCACTGCAGCTTATATGTGAATGAAAATCATCCAGCAGCATTTATCTCAGATTTGCATTCACCAGTTGGGTTATCACTCTTCAGAATTGAAACTAAATCAAATCAAATTATCCACATACGAACATGAATAAAAAACTTACATTCTGTTCAGTTTCATCAGATTCTGGTTCTCTCTGGTACTTTTCATATGCCTCTGCATCATCCACAAACAAGCTAGCATTCGACAAAAATAGCTCCCGACCACTGCATTGGAGGAGAAAATAATGTAACCAGATTAGCAGGGTAAATTTATAATATTGTCCACCTTCATAACCACTTGTATTTTTATTTTTATTTTTAAAAAGTAAAAACACATTCAAGAATAGGCAGTTCCCTCACTTCTTCACATTTTTTAATAGGTACCAGAGAGAGGGGGCCATATACATACATTTATATGTGAATAAATAGTGGATGTACCTCATACGGTCATTCTTAGCCCTCTCTGCCTGTTGTGCAGCTAAATTGGCATCTCTTTCTTCTATCTTCTTCTTCTTCCATTCAGAAAATAACTCAGGAGTCATAGGAGTTGTAGTTGTCACTTTGGCACGCTAAACCAAGTTAAATATTGTTAGATAACCAGATACAATACTGAATGGCATATAGCTTGTTATAAGGGGGAAAACAATGCACCTGATTTTCAATCTCCTCTTCGATTGATATTTTTTCACTTTCTTCCTCTAACAAAGCCTTCATTTGAGATTTCAAAATATAACCAGGTGGAAGAGCATGTCTATAATGGCAATTCTTGCCACCATTGGGGCAGTCCCAAAACCAACCATATTGCTTCTTTTCTACGGCATCCAAAAAGTATTTACAGACCTAGACATAGTACCGAAATAAATTACAAGCAGTCATTTCAAGTGGCACAAGCCAAATGACAAATACAATTTGAAAATAACAAATGCCATCAAACATCCGATATAAACCCCACAATTAACCAAAAACCATAGTGAACCACAAAAAACAAAAATGCGTATCAAATCAAACAAATGAATATAACAGCTCCAATTCCAAGTTCCAACAAATCTAACAAAACGTACTATGTCAGTTGGTTTATTCTGGTTATACTCGGTTTTCTTCGACTCCACCACCTTCTCCAAGGTCTCTTGATCCCAATCCTCCATCGTGCCTGACAACAAAAGAACCAAACCATAGAGTTAAATACAGATAAAAGCCATCAAAACCAAAACGATATGCAACAATCAACCATCATCATTGAACTTTATGCAATACCCTGGTCACGCTTATCGCTGTAAATGTCAATCTTTTCCCCTTTCCTCTGAACATTCAAATCATGCGAGAACTTGCATTTAAATCCCTTGGCACACTGCCCCACTTTATAAAACTCACATAGTATGGACTTGGGATCAACACCTGACCAAATCCAGATATATTAGTCTCCACTTACCAGCAACACTAATAAAAAAGTTATAAATAAAAAAAACATCTGTATAAAAATAAATACAAAAAAGTAATTACAAATAAGACTGATTACCAACTGGAACTTTAGGCTGAGTAACAGCGATTTTGAACAAATCATTCAGCTCCTTCTCCTTGGCCTTCTCCTCCTCCTTCTTTTTCTGTCATCACCACCACAAATTTTTTCATGTTACAAAACACAAACCCTAACGGATTAATGATTACAAGTAACCAAATTTACAATCAAAAAAAAAAAAAAAAAAAAAAAAAAAAAAAAAAAACAGAGGCCTATGTTGAAAACCTTTGCATCGACTTTGGTGGGATCGGGTCTGGGCTGCACGGACTGCTTGAGATTCTGGACGTATTTCTGGACATTTTTGCTCTTGTTTTTGTTCTTGAGGCCGAAGGTTTTGTCCTCTACAATCTTCTGCTTCTTCGCTAAATCAGCTTTTGATTGCTGCTTAGGCGGCATTTTTTATCGGCATCAAAAATTAAAAAAAAAACGAATAATTATTATTGGTTCAGTGAAATTGGGGAACAATGGAATTAGGGGAAGATGCGAAGGAAGCGAAGAAGATGTGTTTGGTTGGGTTGGGTTGGGTTAAGTTAGGGTTCGGAGATTGGAACGTAGAGGCGAGAGGTGGTGTAGATTCCAGAACTTTACGATGAATCCCAATTCCCGAACTACCCCTCTCAAAATGCACACTGCTTAGGTTTCCCTTTTTTTTTTATTTAAAAAACGTGCGAGCAAATAAACGGGCCGAACCCACGAGTCCACAATTGGATTTCATAGAACTGATAAAAGATAAGGGCTAAACAATTTTTTTCCTCCATTTTTTTAAATCTGTCAAACTTTACATTTCTTAATTAATATTGTCTACTTTTGATTTTACATTTTTTAAAATATGTCCAAATTTATCTCTTAATTAATACAGTTAACCTAATTTAATGAGTATCATATCGACATTAAAATTCATTTTCCTTGATTGTTTAAAGTAAAGAAATGTTAAACACTAATATTATAAGAATCAAACTACTATAGAATCTGATTAAGAAAATCGTATGTGAATAAAAATTCAAATATGAAAAGCAATGGAAAGTTATTTTTCTGGAATTTAAAATATTATATATGAACCTTAGACCACTTAAGCATACATAGATCTAAGAACACACATGTGATAACATATATTTTATCAACTAGGATAATCGTTAAATTAGATTAACAGAGTTAACGAGAAAGGTAAATTTTGACGCATTTTAAAAAATGAAAGGTTAAAAGGTAGACATTTTAAAATTGAGAAACGACAAATGAACATGCACATATTTAGGAAAACCAAAAAGATATTTAACCCAAAAGATAATGACTTAAATGGACTTCATATGATTTTGATTTATGACTTAAAATATTACTTTATCTTTTTAAAACTATCACATTATTTTTTGTGTAAAATGAGTAAATTTTAATTTTAATTTTCATAGAATCTATTTTTTATCTCTCTAAAATCTAAAATCATTATTTTTTATCTTAATGATAATTTTAATATAGATAAATAATATTTATTATAAAATTTTATAAGAAATTTTAGAGATGTCACTTATTGACATAATATGACGAATATGAGATAATCACTTAACATTTTAATAGTTAAATAAGTAGTTAAACATTATAACATAATAATAGAAAAATAATAGTTCTAATTTTTTTAGGAATGGGAAAAAAAATTGAGGAATGACAAAAAAAAAATTACAGGAAACAAAATCAAAACTTGTTAATTTTACAAAATTAAAAATATATTTTAAGTCTTCTTTATATATGCACCAAGGAAAATAGTGACTCTTATTTTTTTTATCATTGAAGTTATAATAAAGGTAACAAAGTTTAAACTTAAGATCTTATGTATATTATTTCAACCTCTACCACTAATTTAATTCTAGTTTAGAAAAGGAAAAAGTGACTTTGTACTTGAGTGCCTCGATATTTTTTTTTTAAAGAAGAAATAAATAATGAAGTGGGTGATTAGCAATAAATTAAGTGTTTTGATTAGAGAGTGATAAAATAGAGAGAATTAAAGAAGATAATAAAAACTAGACTAAATTGTAATTTTAATCTTCTTATAATATGTAATTTGTAATTTTGATCTCTTGAATTCTATATTCTCCAATTTTGCAAAAATCATAATTTTGATTCTTTTATTGAATTTTTCATATGTTGATCATTAAGTTTGTAACATTTATTATGATTTGACATTAAATAAATGACATGATAATTAATTTTTAAGTATATATATACTGGATTTCACTTTTATTTTTATTTTTATCATATATAATAGTATAATGAAATAAGAACTAAGAACTAAAAGAGCAATTTAACCTAAATATTATTAAATAATAATCATTATGTCATCTAACTCATATCAGGTCATGATCAACGTTATAATTTAAATAATAACAAATAAAATTTTAACAAAATGATCAAAAATTATAATTTTAAAATCGAGGGATTAAAATTGTAGAATTATAAATTAGAGAACCAAAATTACAAATTTCATATAATAAAGAAACTAAAAGAGAAATTTAACCAAATTTTTTTTAAATTAGGTTAAAATACTTTATTAATCCATATAATTTTATTTACTTTACTTTTTAATTTCCATAGTTTAAAATATATATTTGTAATCCTTATACTTATCTTTTTTAGCTTTTATAGTTTAATATAGATCCTTTTAGTCTATATACTAATAGTTTTAAAAAAAAAATTAGTCTCTTATGTTAATTTTTTTTGTAATGTTATTTTTTTTTTCTCGTGTTAATGTAACAAAAGTATTAATTAAACTTTTTAAGTCTAATGTCAAATTTATGTACTAGAGTTATTCTAAATTAGATTTTTCAATACTTCATGGCTCTTTTATACTTTTACCTACAATGTCTATTATTGAGATATTTTTTGTATCCTCACAAATTGAAAACATCTATCACATTAATACAAAACATACAATGTTACAAAAAAAAAAAATAGAGAGTAAAAGATTAAAAAACTAAAAATATAGAGATTAAAAAAACTATCTTAAATTTATATTTTATATCAAATTTATAATCTATCTGCGAATTAAAAGATTTTAATGCATAGACCATATTTGTAATTTTAAAAAAATGAAAACTATTTTTTATGTGTGTGTCTGTATATATGTATATATATATATATATATATATATATATAAGGAATTTTCAAATAAATTAATAAAAAAATTTAATTGAACAATTAAATTATTAAAATTTAATATAGAACATAAATTATATTGAGTGAAGTAGATTTAGAAAAATTTACTCTCCTCATATGTGTGTGTGTTGTGGACATATCTAATACTTTTTTTGAGACCAATCTTTTCATCCGCTCAAATTTTTTGAAGTTGAAAAGAAAAAGAAAAAAAAAGGTTAAAATTGTTTCCCTTTAGATTATTATAACTTAAAACAACATCATCATAAAATAATTCTATTTAAATTGTAGGATGCATGTTGTTTCTCAAATGATAAAATATATTGTGATTTTCTTATCTGACGATTTGATTGGAACATAAAAGATGATTATATCAAATCTAATAATGTCATCAAAAATTAATGTTTTATCATTTTGTTATGTTTAATCTACCTTATTTTCATTCAATTTAATATATTTATGTATAAATTTTAATGAATTTAATATTCAAAATATCATGATTCTTAAATATTAAACACGACAAATAGTCCAATGAAGTTCTAGCATTTAATATTATATAATTATTTTTAAAAATAATTACAAATCCTACCACCATATTTTCACTACTATCATTTACTTTTTGTAGGAAAAATATTGAACGCAACTTTTTCATTTATTTATTTTTTAATTTTAGCCTTTATTTTGAAAATGTTTCCATATAAAATAATTTCTAAATCTATACAAATAAAAAATATATATA